CCTTTAAAGAGCATCAGCTGTAATCCTTTGGGGAAACACTGCGAAAAAATGTGGACCGAGTTATCTAAAGTGTAAGCACTTTCACACAAGAGGATGGGAACATATCCAAAGCTGCACGAGCAGGTTTAAGAAAAACATTCCGCGGAAGAGGACATCAATGGTGCCAGTGGTAATCTGAGCACCCGGGGCTACTGAGAGAATAGCTCCACCAAATACCAAAAGCATCATCTGAAGAACAGCTAAGATACTGTGGAGAGCCCTCCGGCTGCAAGGCCTCCGTCGGAGAACCAGAGTTTAAAGTGCAACCATTCATGAGGGCAAGATCCCTCTGTAACAAAACATTACTGGCATGCAAGGACTTTGAAGATTATTGTTTGGTTGGGGCATGGATTTATTTTTTGCTAAATAACCTGATCCTAAAAACATACAACTTTGAGGATGTGTGACAGCGGCTCATTCACTTAAGAGCAAATTGTGAACATTTCCTTATCAGCTGCCAGCTGTTGTTGATGCCAGGACCCGTTTTTGGGGATGTGATTGATTTAGGCTCTTATCTCGTTTTGCGTGCGAATAATCTAGTTTTACACCCAAAAGGTTATTTAAAGTCTTGAAGGATCACAACAGCTGTAGCTGATAAGAGGGAGAGCAGAAAGATGGTGAGTGTGTGTGGCTGGAGCTTGATTAGTTGTTCCCGCAGCAAAGCATCAAGGACACCAGGAGACTTTAGAGCCATCCATCAAACCCTTGGAGAGATTTATGCAGACTTTCAAGGGAATCTGGTGTGTTTAACAAATTTGAGCCTGTGCATGTGCATGTGTGTCTGTGTGTGAAGGCTTTGAAGGTGGTAATGCTCTGTGATTGGTACCCTGAGCTCATTTTCGCTTCCATTACAAGTCTATCAGTGTAAGGCAGGATCTTGATGAAAGGCCCCTCTGCAGACAATTGATCTCAGTAATGATGAAGAGGAGGGGATAGGTCAGACATACCACTTCTTTCACAGGATTTTTCTCTCAGGTGCTCGCTGGAGTGTGAGCCAGTCATGGCCCTGCACTTTGATGGGCTTGTTAGATGTGCGTGTGTGTGTGTGTGTGAGTGATAGATTATTCTTAGACTGCTTTTGAAAAATGGCAAGAAAAACGGTGCTCACACCAGCCAATTACATAAAAACAAGCTTGCATGTACCTAGAAAGCTTTCTCCAAGGCAATTAAAATTCTCTTTGAGCTCTTTCCACTTTATTTGAAAGAAGTGGAGAGAAAAAAAACAAGAACATTTTAGATGAATTTTTCGTCTCAGTGAAATTAATCAAACCAAAGTGCAGAGGGAGAAAGGCGGTCCCGGTGCAAACCAGGATTCCCTTAATTAGCCTGTTTTGCATTTGCATCCCTATGACATTTAATGCACATGCCTACCTTATAAAGCCTAAATTGTTTCAGCTCAGAGTTGATTGTACCCGAAACATAAAAGAAAGGGTGGGTGGAAAAAAACAAAAAAACACGCTGCCCTCCTGCCTCCTACGGGGTTGTGCTAAACCACTTATTTCAGACTAAACTGGATTATTGACATAAGACACAAAACTGGAAGACTTATGTTTTCCTGCACAAAGGAGTCCCAGCACCTGGGGGGCTACAGGCTGGCTGGTAATTGAATTTATGCTTCTGAACAGTGGCTGTTGTACCCAAAAGCATACGTTTAGGATGCACACGTTTGTTTATTCAAAGGATAACAGACATGAGGCTCATGTTGTCCCTCTGCAATACGTTTCCCAGAGCCTGTACTGAACATTTCCACTTTATTTGTGTCCATTTTTGTATTATTTATTGCATTTTTTATTAAAGTGAGCCCCGAGAAGCAGCCCAGGAGACAACTCCAAGGATAATTTTGCTCTAAGCGTTTCCCTGAGACGATCCCACGTAGAAAAAATTAAACCTGTGAGTTCTGCAAAAGAATGTAAAAGAAACAAGCACCTGGCTCCCACAGTGTGGACATGTGGACGTGGTTAAGGTGGTGCTGGAGCCTGGGAAGAGTCAAGATGACGTATCTGTTTGTCACAGCGCCAGGCATGAGTGAGTGCGTCGGGGAGCGGTTCCAGGGCACCACCGGTAGCTCTTCTCAGAGGCGTATCCACACACGGAGCAAACACACGAGCCAAATCGGTGCCCTTTGCTCGGCGTTCTCATCCCAGCAGAAATAGAATGATCTGCAGAAATCAAAGGTGCGACATAAATGAGTCATAAACAACACAGAGGTGGCCGGGGGTGTGGTCTGTGTGGGGCCTGGCGACGGGCCCTATCCATTTAACAGCCTGTTTTTTCTGCAGCACAGTGTTGTAACCTAGCACCGAGGTGCTGTCTTTTGAGCTTTTTTGGTTTTGACTGGGCCATCGTCTTGAGAGCCTGCTGAAGATCCTCGTAAATCTGAGCTGGATTTCCCAGAAGCAGTGACTGTAGAGTATTAACGCTGCTTCCTAAGCCTCTCGTTGGCGAAGACTCCATATAATGCAAGTCCCCGATCCTCACAGGCAGATCCAGTCCATCGCATCACTTTCCAGCAGGTCCTCTCGCTCGCTCGATACGAAAAGTGGCCTCTCAGACGACAGGAATGCATTCAAAGTGTTGATTATAAGCTGGTGAAATCCGAAGAAGACGATCCACATTCGTCCACCCTTCCTTATGAAGTTCTGTTGACAGCCGTTGGATTCGAGCTGTATATGTTGGTCATTTGGAATTTCATGTGTCAGAAACCTAAATATCTGGTTTCACCAATGCTTATCGTTGGTTTCCCCACACATGAGTTTTATCAGAATAAGCCGACACCGAAGCCGATGTGGTTCTTAGAGTGGCCGTAATGCATTATTCATTTCAAACAAAGCAAAGACGTAGCAAAGAAACAGTTTGCAGAGGCAACAAAGCAGCCTTCTGTTGACTCTGCAGGTCTGTGATTAACACATTAAGTCTCATTTGTTTAATCTCCACAGAATAACAGAAATTTGTGGAGAATGTTGTGTTGTGGTCGTCCGCTGCCAAACGTGAATGCTTGCTTAAGCTTTCTGGCTTATAGCTGTAGTTTCACATTACACCGGAGTGATATCTAACTCTGGGCAAGTACACAAATGAAATACTTCTGTAGCAGTCGGGAAGGGTCTCTGTCATCTCGTTGCAGTTGTGTTTATTTGCCTTTTGTGTACACCTCTCATAAGTGATCGTACAAACACTGGGGACAAAAGGCATCCCTGTTCCTCAAGTCTTATTAAAATTATAAACAGGCCTCTTTTTAATTTATTTTCACTACTAAGGGAAGGTCTTCTAATAGATATGAGGACTTGTGGACTTTTGCTTTGGTTAACAATGAATTTGGCATGAGCTCTGTTGTTCTATATTGATTTTTTCTGCTCTGGTTTAATGCAGAATTTGTCCAAAATACTGTATAAAGATTCATTATATTTGGTATAATTGGTGTGTTCATTACAGATCTTTATGTGCTTGTTTATTTAATTGGACAGTGTGTGATAACACTTTGAACATTTTGTCACGTTGTGAGCCTGCTGTGCTTTTCCCTGGACTCCCACAGCGAGCTGGACATAACTCTTCCTGCCATTGGTCAGGCTAATGAGAAATGGAGATCCGGATTGAAACGGTGACCTTTCATGGCTAGGAGACTGAGCAGAGTCCTCGGCCATGGCGTTTTCTGACACATGGCCTCATCTCACTGCAGACCAGTGTCAAGTCTCCCTTTGAGGTTTTCAGAGAAGTGACCTTTTATGTTCTGTAGGTTTGTGATCATTTCTGATTTTTGCTTTTTTGTATGGAACTCAATGCCAACATCCACCCCAAGATGAATGTAGATCTATTCTTTTTTTTTTTCGTAAACAACATAAGATCAACCAATAATTTGTGGCTTTGTTGCACCATTGTGTTCTGCTTTCCTGTCAGGCTGCAGATCTCAGCGTTAGCAGTCACAAGCTGTCCCCAAAGGCTAATGAAAGCCTTCTTGATTGATTCGATCTGTAAATGACAGCGGACAGGCGACGCCATCGCCCAAAGCAGCGCTGCCATTATGTTTGTGTTCACAGATTAGATACAGTTGCACCCTTTGGCGTGTGGAGCATTAAAAGAGCGCGTCCTCTGGGATGAATATAACGTCGCATTTGACTGCAATGACTTTCCATTTTAGAAACTAAATGGAGATTTTGATTGCGACTCCTTGTTAAATTGATCCAAAGTATGGCTATTCTGTATTTTGTTCTTTCAATACTGCTGCAGCATAATGAATGGTATTTGACATGAATAGACAATGTTGGGCATGTTTTGCTGCAGTTCTAACTTATATTTGCAATATGAACACATTAAGAAAAGGTCAGTTAGTCCAAACATTGGAACGGGCTGTCGGGGACGTGTCCACTCATTTTTCAGTGCCCTGCCAAGATTTATTAAACAACCAAACACTCTACAAATATTTCATAAGAATTTCCCTCTCAGCATTTGGGGAAGTGTTGAATATCAAGTCTCCGATTTGATGAATGCTCTTCATATAGCTGTGTTTGTTTTGCTATGTCTGTGGAAGTCAAGAAATTCAGAGGAAAAATTATGTGTGAACAGAAAGCGCTGCTGCGAGGTCCGCTTCATTTTAAACAATCAATGAATTGATTCAGTATGTATGCTGTGTTTTTTTCTTTCTTCCTTTTCCCCCTTAGTGTGTTTAGAGAGAGTCATTACCCCCCCCCCCTCCAAAAAAAAACAGCAGTAAATGGAGTACACATCATAAAGCAGCCAAAACTAAACTTTTTGATGAACTGCGTGTCAGATCTTCTGAAATTCGTTAGTTAGAGTTATGTAAGCAGACCGGTCCAGACTTTCAAGCGCTGGCTATGAAACACAAAGGCTCAAACACCAATATTATCACAACCACCTAGAAAACACATGTCGCGTGATGGAGTCGTAGTTTTTCTTGCTTCTAGATTGTGGGTCTGATCCCCCGCCTCCGTGTTTGCTTTGTCTTCCAGAGAAAGAACGTCCACCTGCTGCTGAACGTGTTTCTGTTGGCAGCGTGGGGAGTCGTTTTGTTGGCCTGCCGCCTCTACTGGATGGGAAACAAACCGCCCAACTTCTCCAACTCCGACAATCCGGCGGCAGACTCCCCCTCGCTGCTCACCAGGACCCTGACCTTTTTCTACCTACCCGCCGTCAACTTTTGGCTCCTCCTCTGCCCGGACACGCTCAGCTTCGATTGGTCAATGGACGCGTTGCCTTTGATCAGGACCGCCGCTGACTGGAGGAACCTTTACACTGTAGCTTTCTACCTTGGGCTGCTGTCGCTCGCTTGGTTCGGCCTGCGCGGGCATCAGACAGCCAAGGGGAAGGAGACCAACGGGAAAGCCCATCTCTACAGCAATGGCCGAAACGGGAACACTAACGGACACAGTTACCACTACAACAACCACGAACACACGAGTAACTCGCTCACGGATTCCCACCTCAATAGTTACGGTGCGCAAAACGGCACCAAAAAGCCCCCTGAGAGCAGGACTCCGCTGCCCACCTCTGAAAGCGTGGTGGTGTTTTCCCTCGGCCTTTTGGTCATCCCTTTCCTACCCGCCACCAACCTGTTCTTCTACGTGGGATTCGTGATAGCAGAGAGAGTCCTGTACATCCCCAGCATGGGATTCTGCCTGCTGGTGGCGGTAGGCCTGAGGTCCCTGTACGTCCGCGTGCGCCGCAGATGCTCCAGGATGCTGCTGTTGTACTGCAGCGCCGTGCTAATTCTGCTTTTCGGCATCAAAACCGTTTTGAGGAACCGGGACTGGCAGAATGAAGAGATGCTCTACAAGTCAGGGATTTACGTCAATCCTGCTAAAGGTAAGCCTAAACCTGAGTTACAGACTTTGTGTCATCACTGTTGGTACCATTATTTATGTGATAACAGTATTTAGGTGTCTGAGTAAAGTGATAATATCTGTGGAGTCTCTTGGGTTTATTGCTTAGTGGCTGATCCCAGGTGGCCGAGTAGGGTGTTCTGTTTCCTGTTTTGCGAGCCCAGATAGACGCAAGGGTCGCATTGGGACGGGAATCCGCCAAGAGGCGACTACAACAGTGTTGCCTCTTTCAATGTTTTTGTGTCTGCAAAACCGCCATAAAATCCCGCCTTCGCCACAGAACAGACAAGCATCCAGTCAATAATTTGCAGCGATGTTGGATGTGATCACCGGTCTGGTCTGGCCCACTGTGCAGCCTGTTTAATGACACCGCATGCCTCATCTCATTTGGAAGGGCACCCCCCTTTTCATAGCTGACTGGCAACTTCCTCTCTGCGATAAAATATTCACAAGCAGTTCCACTCAAGGTCATCGCACAGATTTTCTATCCAGAGTGAAGTTTGCGGAGCGAGACGTGGGGAAGGGCCTCACAAAGCAGCAGAAGGACACGTTGAGTTAGCTAATTTCCCTTTCAGATTCTGCGGCGGAGCTGAGGCATGACGGCTGTTTGTTTTGGCAGGCCAACACAGTAGAAGCAATGTCCCCGCCTCACATTCAATAAAGCTAATATGAGAGTTGAAAAGAGCCCAGTGTCAAAACGCAGATTGTTTGCACTGGGAAGTTTTTGAGCGTGCGGCCTGCCAGAAAAGCAGCCGCCCCTGTGAAGGCACCGCCGAACGGAGGGAGCTCGAGTTTTTCTTTTGTCTGTCTTATTAATACTAAACACTCTGGTGGGATCCCGCGGACTGAAGTCCAGAAAGCACGCTGCTAAAAGACGGAGCCCACACGCTCGTCTTATTAAGTTGTTTTGATATTTCACTTATGGCCTCGTGAAATTTAAGCCTATAAATCAACATCTTCATGGTCAGTTTATTTTCAAATTAAATCACAGTTGACATGTTAAAAATGGTAGTTGTTCTTAGATTGTACGTCCCCTCTGAGTGTATTTTCCCACCCCACAGTCTCCTCGCAGATTGTCTAAAAGGCTCCTAGCAACCTCCCCCTCACCTTTCACTTACTGCATCATGCTGCTAAACACCAGCTCCATCAGCGCCTCAAAAGCGCTGTGGTGGCCTTCTTTTCAAAGGCGTTCTCATCGGAAACACTGGCGGGCCGTGCACAAAGCCTCCCCGGTGCGCCGCGTCCTCGTCTCAGAGCAGCAGCTGCAGCGGAGCTGCGTCTTCTTTAGGGGTTAAAAAGCACTGAACCGGCGTCAGCGTGAGCTTTAGACTAACAAAAGACAATTATTACTTAGCACAAAAGCCTCATGTCCCGCTGATATGATTTACAAGCTTTTAAAGACTCTGAAAGGAAACGTTGTTAAAGTAGTTTGCCACGTTTTAACCCCCCCCCTCCCCTCTTTCCTTCATCATTTGATTGTCGTTTCCCTTTGTGACCCGTCAGCATGGGGCAATCTTGGAAATGTCTTGAAGAGCCAGGGGAAGATGGAGGAGGCCGAGCAGGCCTACAGAAACGCTCTCTACTACCGCAGCAACATGGCTGACATGCTCTACAACCTGTGAGTCGGTCTCGCTTTACTGTGTCGTCACATTTCTCTGGAATAATGACATTACAGGCCCTTTGATTTAATTCACTGTCTATTGATTCCGGCTTCCACGCGCAAGTGTTTTAGCTTCTTTTCTACATGCGCATTGATCAGATCTGTACCCTCAGAGGATTATAAGGCACGACTTCTCTGAGCCTGTCTTATTAGCGATGGAGCTTTAGTCCAGGAGGAAAACACCAGCATCAGCCAACACTCCGTGTGTGCTCTAATTTCTGTGTTTTTTTTGTTTTTTTTAAGCCTTGCCCTCACTTTTTATCGTCTGCTTGGGTACTTTAATCCTACCAGAGGCTTTTAACTTCAAACAGACCTTCTTTTGAGCTCTAAACTGTCACAACTGTCCTTCTTTTTGTCCGCTTCAGCGGTTTGCTGCTGCAGGAAAGCAACAAGTTCTCAGAGGCGCTCCACTACTATAAGCTGGCCATTGGGAGCCGGCCAACTCTGGCTTGTAAGTACAGCTCTTCTCTTTTTTTTTTATTGACAATCTCTAGCTCTGGTGGTTATGGCTGAGCTGTGTCCAGGCAACAGCGAACAAAGGCCGCGGTTATGTGAGGGGAAAGACCCGGATCACAAAGGGCAGCGGGGATTCGGCTGAATTAAACATTGGAGCGCAGCTTTGTGACTGGCAGTCAAAGCCGTGTTACGTCAGCTGATCAAACAAACGCATTGTGTCATTTAAGACCCCATCGCTCCTATTTATTTTATTCTCTCTACTATCTCTGTACAGACTTCTTTATTTCCCTTTTTTTTATGTGTGTCTCGATGCTCTTGGTTACTTCCCCTTTGCAGGGGTTCCTTATTGTCGCACCCATTTGCATCCTCACTGCTCTTTGATTTTTGTGTGACGCATCCTGGTGAGGCTTTATTAGACATCCCCACTTGAAGTTTTTTGCTTATATTACTCAATGTGACGGTTTTATAATATAATTTAACACTTCCATCCCATGTCAAGATGCTGTGAGCCGGCTTGAGACACAAAGCATGGGCCCTGCCAGAATCTTTTGGAGAAAAAAAAGGGTTAGAATGGGCGTGACAGTCATGCTAGACTTTCTGTAGACTTCCATTTTGTTCCCCGATTTGTACAAATTGCTTCGGATTGTTCGAGGCATCAGTCAATGACAGATTAAGGGACGAGCTTAAATGTCGTTTCCTTTCTTCCAGGATTAATTATGCATCTAATCAAGCTCACGGTTAGACTGGGAAATTCTCATGCAGCGTGCAATTACCCAGTCTGTTATAGCTGATAACAAAGTTAATTAATTGCCGTAGGCAGCAGACAATTTGAAGTCGGAATGGTAATGTGACAGTTACGTTGTTTTTTGGGGGGCTTTTTCGGAGGCTACTCTGTCACTCAATACCTAATTGTAAGAGCAAACTGTTGCATTTTTATTATTCACACTGCTTATTCTGTCAGAGAACACCACTGAATTGTTCTGCGTGCAGAAAACCAGCAGAGTGATGACTGACTTGATTTTGTTGCCAGGTTTTATTCATCGATTGGCCATTTTATTACGCCGCCAACTCGCGTGTAGAATATGAAGAACCAGACAGTGTAATCTAAAGGGAAAAGGTTGGGTTTGCTTCCCAGCCACTGCTTGTCAACTTTATTATCCGGAGGAGTCGTTCACATTGATCTTCTTTATCAAGTTAATTTATTCCAACAAGCGGGCATGATAGGGAGTTGTTTAGAGAGGAAGGTCCACAGAGACTAATTACTCTTCAGCAACATATTGATCCTAAGATATTGTCTTTCACTCAAATAGTTAAAAAAAGGGCTCCCATGTATTTCACAGAAAGCATGCAAATGTGAACATACAAGGAAGCGTGGACAGCACCAACAGGCGTTTATTACTCTTCTCCATGGCTGTTCAATCATATGCAAATGACACACACATATTTTATCAGCATTTCTCTTCAAGTCAGTGGAAGACATTGAAGACTGTTTATTTATTGAATTTTCCTCCAAAAAATGCACCAAGCCCACTTTCAAAGATTTAAATAAATCCAGATTTAAGGTATTCAACACAAATTCATCCAAGATGTTTCAAATCCTGATCACTAATGTTAAATTAACCTTTTTAGATAAGACGTGAACAGCAAATGTCTGGAGTTGCTCGATTCCACCAGCGAGACAAATGAAAAAAGGCCCGAATGGCTATTAAGAAGCTTTAAAGGCTGTTAAACCAAAAATCATTTGACATTGTCATTATAGTTGCATCCTAAGTACATTTGTAATTATATCTATTCAAAAGGCCTTTTGGTTGATAGGTTTCAGTAACCCTGGGCATGTAATTTAAATATTCTGATCATGCAAAACGTTTTGATTTGCATGCATGTACAAGTATGTTCAAAGTCCGAAACCTCCCAATGCAGTCTTGTTTTCTTTCTAACTCAAACTGTGTGCATGATATTGTGCTGCTGCAGCAGAGTGGACACAAAGAGAGCTGCGAATCATCAGAGTAACATTTAATAAAATGGCATCACAATACAAAACCGATTAAGGCAAAGTGTTTATTTCAAATTGATTAAAGGCACATTGCTTATCAAAATGCATAAAACTGATCCAAATTCTGCTTGTTTCCATCGACAGCGGCCTACTTGAACACAGGCATCATTCTGATGAATCAGGGACGTCAAGACGAGGCCAGGCGCACTTTTCTGACGTGCGCTGACATCCCAGACGAGAACCTAAAGGACCCCCATGCCCACAAGAGCTCAGTCACCAGCTGCCTGTACAACCTGGGGAAGCTGCTCCACGAGCAGGGGCATCAGGAGGTAAACGCTCAAGCACAGACGACATTTTTCTTTAAGGAAAATTCATATCTATACACATTCATCAAACTATACTAACATGCTGGGCTTATAAAGTGTATATAAAAACTTCATATTCACTATTAGCAGACAGAATACCAAAATTTAAGAGTGATTGTTGAATTATTCACGAGAACCTTGAGCATGTATTTCTAAAAAAGCAAATGGATGGCGCTATTCATCAAAGATATAAACCTAGCAGACCACAACGTAAAACAGGCACCATAAAATGCACTATACAGAGTTGACAATTCCTCATAATAATGTTCTTTTTATATCCTGTAATTTACATCTTCCCCCCTAAAGATGTCAAATAGCCCACGTATTGATTGCACGCATGCTAAAGTAAAATGATTTTGTCTTATATTTCTGTGTTTAAGAAATACTCGCAACCACAATTTGCCTCACAAACAGCCCCGCTGCTGCCATGGGAGTTGAGACGTTGCTCCTTTGCATACTGTAAAAGCAGGAAAATTTAAAACTGTTGTGAATTTAGATAACGTGCAGGAGGTTGCTGGAGCTTCCCCGGGGGCACTCTGAGAAAGGCCTTGCTTTAATGTGTACATTTTTCTAAATTGCCTTTGTCATAGGGGACACGGTGTTTGTGCGGATAATCCTCGGGCTTTTTTCTAACAAATTCACTCTATTTCATGCCCCTGAAGACATTCAGTGCTGGGTAAAGGAACTGGGTCTCCAGTTCTGCACATTTGTATTGTGTGTAAGCAGCGATGCCGCTGATTGAATCAGGAGCAAAGCGCTGGTGCTGCTGATTCAATAAGGGCTTTTCGAAATTGTTGGCATGCCGGAGATCCAGAGAAGTCCCACATCCTCTGACCTCTCACCGCAACGTTTGATTCAGCAATAAAGTAGTTGCAGGTCCCTTTGGCGTTTGAACTCCAGCGGGCTTTGAGGTCAGGAGCTGGATCTACACATAATGCGCACTAGTGTCAATAAGGGGACTCTGTTCCAGTCGTCTTAAAAGCTGCCACACGGAGGACAGATCCTTTGTTTTCAGCTCTGTATGAACCAGCCAGCCGGCGACCCTCAATTCCACGCCGTGTATTCATATTGTCAGGGCCTCAGCTGCACTGGAGCAATGACTAGTTACCCCCAGAGCCAGGTCCTCTGGCAGCGTGGATCTGCTTCTCTAATGCAAACATCCCCCACTCTCTTTATTCTGTGTGCTCCATTCACAGGAGGCCCTCTCCGTGTTCAAAGAGGCGATACAGAAAATGCCAAGACAATTTGCACCACAGAGCCTCTACAACATGATGGGTAAGTGCAGCTTTTGTTTCAGGAGCAGGGGCACAAAAGGAGATGTAAAGGGTCAAAGGTTAAGGGTTCATTTTGGGGCTACTTGGAAGAATTTGGCAGCTAGATAGCGCTCATTTTTCAAGAGTTATATTTCACGTTGAAGCATCCCCTGCATGAGCCTTAAATGATCCAGCTGCCATTATGTATGATGAAATAATCTCTGATAGTAAGGTCCCTGGAGCTCCAGCGGCTTTGAGGTCACTAAGCAACAAAACAAAAAACAGGTGTCTTCTTGCTTTAAAGTTAGAATGTGGAGGTTTTATATTGGCCTTTTTGGAAAAGTAAACTAGAACAATAAAGATTCAGGTGCCTGTAATGGCAGTTCATTCATTTCTATCAGTTATTTCCTTTTTTTAATTGTTCATGCTTTATAAATACAGAATTAAATCAAATTGACTTTGTGGCAATTTTCCATCACACAACGCGGTATGTTGTCATTTAATTCGTCTTTCCGTTGAAGGTGGTACTAATGTACAGTGAAATATACAGACAGATACATTTTGAGGGGATTACTTCAGCTGAGGGGGCCAAACTTGCTCTATATGTCGATGTGGAAAACTCCAGACTGCTTTATCCTTTCCTGTAAACAGCCGCACCCTCTTCCTGAATTGTCTCACAATTAATGACAAAAAATGCACTTTATCAGCTGCGCTCATCGTTTCGCATGAGTAATAACTGAATATATGAACATGTCTGTTTTTTCCTCCAAGGAACACAGCTCTCATGTGCTCAATCACTGCGGTCACACCCAGAACATTCATAACTCTGAGTGCAAAATATTTTTTTTGTGAGTTTCTTTGGGTGAACGTGTGTTGGAAATCAGAAAATAGACGTGCTCAGCAAAGTTATGTGACATTCTAAACAGCTGACCGTGCACGTTGCTGATGGAATAGTTTTGCTGAGTTGAACCTTATAGGACCGTTAAGCATGTCGGCCAGTTCCGGTTTCCGTTAAATTGGGACTAAGGCTAACAAGACAAGAAATTCTGGCCATTTATTCCAAATGAGTAAGTATGTATCTTGTTTGAAACAATTACTTGACTCTCATTTTGGGGAAACAAGTGTTTTGATTTAGCGGTAGTAGGATTTACAAAATCCCGTTAAACAGAATTAATTTGCTTTTCACTTCAAGAACAACCCATCTTGTTATGTTACAGCTGTACAACAGCTGCTCTCCGCCTCATTATATCTGCTCCCTCTGCTGCTTTTTCCCTTTTTTCCCCCCATTTCTACCCCTCCCTGCTTTCTTGTTCACACAAATCCAGCTATTTACGCACACACGCTCACCTGAAACCGGAGCTGCCTTTAATCCAGATTTGGCCGTGCCACAGGTGCCCCCCCCGTGCGTGAGCAAAATGCAGCGTGACAGAGCTTCTGAGATTATGTCACAACGTGGATGAAAGCCCGAGGCCCCGTTAAGGAGCGGCGTAACGTCTGTAATGGGGGGCGCCCAGCCAGAAACCTGTGATTTCTGCTGCTTAGCGTTGTTTCCCCTCCTCAACTGATTTGCACATTTGGCACACCTGCTCGTATCTATTTCCAATTCCGCCGGTTTGCGCTGCTCCCGGCCTGTTTATCAGACGCCAGCGAGCAGGGGCTTTCATCAGACGCAGACCTGGGTGGTAATCTGCACCCCGCTGGTCCCGCTCCAACGCTCCCTGGTGGGCTCAGGAATGTTCCACTCCACGAAGCCAGTTTGCAGCTCCTTGGACTCAATGTCACTTCTAATTGCATGTTGATGTTTGTGCTAATCTCACACAGGGATCTGTAGCCAGGAAGGAGAGTAAAGCATTCTGGCTGCTTTTAATCCCATCAGAAAAAAAAGAGCTCACGTCAGAATAGAGCTACAGTACAGATGTATAAAGGAGGAAAGAATCCTGAGTTTGGGATGGAGGCAGAAATCCAGATAACTGTATTGTAAACTCATTGGTGATGCTTACATTGTCATTAGATGGGTGAGAAAATGGTCATCCAAACAGGACGGTACAAATCGATGCTCTGGTGGAGTTTTCTGTGTGATGGTTCAGTGTTTTTCAGCTTAAGGACGCTTAAGGACTGGTTTGGCTGAGAATCATAACACATAGATGAGATTTTTACAGGAAACCGTCAAAGACATTTTTTATTTCAAATGTTTATTATATGAGCCCCTTTTCTCCCACAACCACCCGCGGATTACACAGTTGGAGGCCATACTCCCACTTAACCGCGACTGTCTTGGATTTCATTGTGTTGCTAAAATAACCTGGATTTCCAATACTAACATCTGGAACATAAGGCTGTATTGATGAAAAACATATTCTCATTATTCCCCTTTTCATGTAAAAGCCTAAAGCCTTTCGCTTCTTCCGAAAACAAACGGAGGGTTAAGTCCTAATTGTGACGCCTTTTAAATACCAATGTGTTAAGAGATATCATTACACCGTGTTATTCGTCATTCGAGAAGGCATGTTTTCATATAATTACAATAGATCCCCAAGTTGCGATTAGCCTCGTGTCACCTGTTGCTTATCGCGGTCTTTCCTCAGAGGTGATTAGTTGAAATCCCAGTGAAATTACGGCCTCAGACCGCACTAGTCTAAACAACTTGTCCAGTCCTCTGACGGCCCGTGAGAGACGATGTAGAGGGAAACAGAAACCGTATAACAACCGGGTGAGGTTCACACTTTTTCCTCGAAAACATTACAATGTCGATTTTTATCTGTTTTGCGTTACTCGGCCGTGTTGTCAGATTTCTGCAATAATAGGAGGGTTACCGGATAGCCGACAGAGAGGTCAGTGTTGTTTCAGGTGTGAGCCGAGAGAGGGTCTGTCCTGGCTGGGGGGGGGAGGTATCGGGTGATGTCTGACACATTTTGAAGTGTAAGCGAGTGCATTTCAGTCTGTGATATTCTCGCACACCTAACTCGAATTGCAAGGATTGTCCAGAATCCAGGGATCTGTGTTTGATGGAGACACTGATAGTGCAGAAATAGCTTGAGTGTGTGTGTGTGTGCTGAGTTTTTCACCTGCTTGGACCGAAGCCTGGCCTAACCTGTGCCAGCTAACGAAGGCTCTCAAATGAACAATAGAAAGCTTTGTGATGTTTTAGCCCCTGACGGTTTGACTTCTGATTTGACCCGCGCTTTCGCTCCCACAGGAGAGGCCTACATGAGACTGAACAAGCTGACTGAGGCTGAACACTGGTACAGAGAGTCGCTGAGAGCCAAGCCGGATCACATTCCCGCGCACCTTACCTATGGAAAGCTCTTAGCCATGACGGTAAGTCTGCCTTTTCCGTGTCATCCACCAACACTAGTGCTCTCTTTGAGAGCAGACACACTTTTATAGGGTTCCACTAATTATGGCTAAGGCTTAGTCTACTTGTAGTGGCTTCCAGTTATCACATTTATTAAGTGAGAGTGATGCAGCCGTCCTGAATAAATTGAACCTTGTTAGTTGTGTTTGGAATGAGCTGAAGGAGCTAAAAAGGGCTGTCAGAGGAGGAAAAAAGCCCTCAGATCGGAGTAGCAGAAGGGTGTCGCTCCTCTCTCCAGCTGTCTGGGTCCAAATGAAAGGACAGCAATGTGTTCAGAAGCCTGGAGCGGTGGTATCTGGGTTTCCACGGCAAAGCTAAGCTCTTCCTGGCCCTGTCCCCTTTCATTTCCCTCTCCACGCAAAGTTCTTTTTAAAGATGGTTTCCCTTTTTTTTTTTCTTTTCCCTAAATTCTCATTTTATGTGCATCCTCTCCGATTGGTGGAGAAATCTTACTGGCAAAACTTAGTATTTCACAATCTTTAAGCTACGTTTTTAATGCCCAATTTGAATCAGGACCGTAGTACAACTGGTTTTATATTTAGTTTTATAAACCCAAAATAAAGTCAGATACTACTTTTTCCTCTCTTTAGTAAACACGCTGCTTCTGCCAGCAGCTGTCAGCCAAGTTTAGAGCTGGATAGAGTGAAAATAAGTCTGTTTCTGTAACAAAATCCACCTACCAGCACCTCTAAGGATCACTTATTAACACATTAAATGTTGGCTGTTAGGTCCGTATGGACCCCGAGGTGTAAAAAACCACACATTGTGGTGTTATGAGGTTTCTTGTGCCAGAACTAAGCTGATGTGCCAAGAAATTGTTTGGCCTGCAGCCCCTGTAGAAATCATTGTGTCATTTGCACTTTTGTGCAGATTTTATTTTTGGATGGAACCAGGATAAACGCTTCTATCCATTTCTCATTATTTTCAATAAACCCAACAGGCTCACTATGATATAGAATACGTTCTTCATTTTGTTCTTAATTGCTGTCAAACTCTTGTGGCTGTGCACAGACAGTTCCTAAGAAGTCGTGTGGCGGTAAATCAGCGGGGGTCTAAATTGAATTGAGCTCCAGCACCATGCGAGATTGATTCTCCACCGAATCTGACTGTCAGCTGAAAGAATAGATCAGCTGGTAACACAGATAAAAGTCAATTGTTAAACCGACATGGATTCCCGTTTAAAAAGAAGAAGGGGAAAACAAAGCTAGTGGACATCCAAAATTAGATTAAGCTGAATCCCGTCAGCCAAAGTCAGTCATAGGGATTGACACAATTCTTCAGAGAGATGGGAGAAGATTTGGTGAAGTGAAAAAGAGGGATGAAACCGGTGGAGCATGACAAAAAAACAGCCCGTTTTTAAAGAATGTAATATTGATTTGGGAGGGAAATAGGAGCTGAAACCTGTAAGGATAAGGCTCAGTAAATGCCTCTCCATGATGGATGGTAGAAGGCATCGAGTTCCTTACATCCTCTGAGTGCAAATATCATCAAAGTAGAGTCCCGTGATCCATGAGATGCATTTAACAAGAAAGATTTATTTATATTCGAGGGATCTTATATGAAAATCTGTTCCCATCTTTACTGGCTGCCGTTAAATGCATGCTCTTAACCGCCGAGTCTGTGGCCTCGGCCTCACGTCAGCAGCATTTAAGCATGATCAAAAGCAGTGCGGGAAGCTGACCTGCCCGCAAGCCCTCCATCATCCGCTTCCTCGATGAGTGATGAAGACACTTCAGATATTTTTTGGGGGGGGAGTTTTGAGGTTCAGATCCCCACAAGAGGTGCAGAGGCTCCACGATAAGGCCTGGCGGCAGGGAGGGGCGATCCGAGCTGGTCGCTGACGCACAGAGAGGAAGCAGTCACTGTGATTTGGAGATAAGTAGAGGACAGAATATAGGGAGGAGGAGAAAGTTAATCACACAGATCAGTACTTCCTCCCCCTCTGTGCCAACCCCTCAATCTCCGGGGGCGCCAGGACGTGGTTTCAGGCTAAGTCAGAGATGTCCTCGGCCACCGTGATGCTCGCCACGTGGAATCCAGACTTCCCCACTGACGTTTCCTCAATTAATGGGACGCAGGCTTCGTTCGCAGCCACCACCGTCCACAGAGCCAGAACAGCATGTGCAGTTTGTTCTGTTGATATCAGGACATACGAGGTGTGAGGCGTGCGCAAATGAGCCCAGCATGTGCGCGACCAAAGACAGGACATGGTTTTGATACAAGCCGCTAAACTTGAATAGCAGGTGGGTGGAGTTAGGCCCCTTTTATTTGCTCGGTTTTTCTTCATCCCCCTTTTAAAGCCGGTGCCCAGAAGTGTGTTTGGCTTTGGAGGGCGTGCAGCATCACAAATATGCAAATGGATTTTAGGCTACTGTAACAAATCAAACTGTGAGCTTGTATCGCATTTAGTTGCTGTGATGTTTAACGAGTTGGTCTTCCTTTAAAAAAATGAAAACGATTCTGGCAGCAGAGTGAGCTGGTTTTAATTCTTTTGTTGACTGAGCTTGCAGACCTTACAGGATGGATGGTGACCCTGTTGTTTATATGCTCAGCTCAACTCATCCCTGTCAAGAAAAAGCTTTCATCCACTTCTTTCATTTCAAGATGAACTTCTGAACAAATACCTGACAAAGCCAGATCTTTGTTTCACCTAATTCATATGGAGTGCATGAGATGTAAATCTTTCTTTTTTTACCATCTGTAGGACATGACCTCAGTCAAAACATATATTGGATAAGAAACATGACTTCAGTTATCCTTCCATACAAAACAATAACCAAAAAGAAAACAATGTTAGTTTGTATGATTGATCATAGCACAATACAAACAAAAAAACGTTTATAATCCAAAAATATAACTTTAAAAAGGCTAATTTCATAGTAATTTCCACTCTATGTGAGTTCAGCTGTCAGGTACTAGAACAATGGCTTCTCTAAGGAAAGAAAAACCTCCAGTACAATCGCTTTAAAAAGACAAGTGAAAAATATGCCACTTATGATTTTTCTAAGGATCTAACATTCATCTTACTTTGCACATTGCATTAAAACTTCGATGTGTCTCAATCCTACTCTTGCATCCAGTCATAAATGGAAATCCTTCAAGTGTGAGAGCCTCATTCTGACAGGCAGATGTGAGCCTCTGTTGTTATAAAAGCAGCTGGCCCTCAAATGTACACATTCCTCCATCTGTGAACGCAAGTACAAAAATACACAGCGGTGATGCTTTTCAGATGGGAGCTGTGACCACCGCTTGGACACCATCAGCTCTATTAAACATATACTTAGCACAGGCTTCGTTTTCAACTGCATCAAGGGAAACCACAGTGACATATTTACATTAGAAAAATTATGTATATAGTGAAGCTTAGCTCAGTGAGAATGGAGCTGCTTGACTAAGTGGACCATCATTAACGATACACTATCCTGAGTGAATTCAAGCTCATTCTTCAATCTGATGAATTTAATGCAGTTTGCTGTATTTCTCACCAGTATAAATTATCTTTACCGACTTATTCACTCTTTTTATAACCACCCTGTTTTTTCCACTGCTCTTGTATATTACCTAAAGCCTATGGGCCGATAAAACCCCAATTCAATAACATATATTATTCATGAAAATCCATTAAACACGTCTGGCACCGAAGGCACACAGATATTTACATTATAGACGGATCGACAAATGTAAATCGCTAATTGTTGATCGGATGGCATCTGGTGCCCAAATGAGAGCCCTGGCGTGTCAGTCCCAGCTGGTCCTTCTATTGGCCAGCTGCGCCGTTGTGGTTGAGCTGTGATTGGTTGCATGTCGAAGCCCAAAGGCCCTCAGGGAGCTCTCCGAGGGGTGTAAATATTTCTTCTCCTTATTATGTTGCCCTCACCCTGCTGGTTTGGATTGTTTTATTTCTGAAGACTGACACAACATTTCGCACTCAGATAAAAGTGCATTAGAATCATTCCCTGTGCCCCCGCTCACTGTTTTCCCTCTCAGTGGTCAGGCCACACACACAGGTTGGGCTGTGGAAGGGTTGTTTGCTCAGACAGAAGTGTGTAATGATTGAGGCTTTGACCTGGACCGCCATGCCAGACTCCGACTGTTGAAACGTGAGCCTGAAGGACCCATGCTGACGGTCCATGTTTTGTTTTTTTTAATGCTCGTCTATTAAGATTTACTCTTAAGCGGGCCTGCGGTTGTTGGATCAGCATTAGGTATACACAAAGGTATTGTAGCTTTTGAGCCCAGTCCTGTGTTTTTACCTCGAGGAGCTTTCGAGGGGGCTGTCGAACCAATAACGACAGCCTTTTTAATCCTTTCGCCTTCAGGGCCAGAAACCAGAAGCAGAGAGGTACTTCCTAAAGGCCATCCAGCTGGACCCAACAAAAGGCAACTGCTACATGCATTATGGTGAGTTTTGTGTTTCTTCTTTCAATTTGTCGTATCCTGACTTTATTCTCACGTCTCAAATGTTTGATTTGGCAGTTTAGCACATGTTTGCGGCTCTTTTGTGCACAAAGGCAGGAATTGACAGTTTCGGGGGGTTTGTTTTTACAACAGTCTTCGCTGACCCTTTTGCCACTTCTTCCTTTAAACATCCATAACTGCGGTCTGCACGTGGTTAAAGGAGGCTTAGGAGATGAGAGGATGATTTCCTCACATTGTCCTGTCTGAGTTAACGAATGCATGGAACGTGACCGCTTAAGCATCTCTCCTGTCCTCAGTTATCCTCGTGTGCATCAGCAGTGCTCAGCCACCGTGTTTGAGAACTAATTGCTGTCATAGGAAACTTTTGAATAAGCTCTCAAGTTGATTATCAGCCATTAAAAGCCTCTGGAAGGGCTGGCTGAAACAGCATTTTAAAGTGGCGAGTCAGCTCGGTAGCACTATCCTGCTAAGTTGAAAGCGTACTTTGAGAAGATCAATGCATCTCATTCATCCTTACCTTTGAGTGAATAAGAGCACGGTGTCAGATTTTTCATTTTTAAGAATGGCTGATCTTGAAATGAACCAAATGGATCCACAGAAAAAAATATTCTTGCACAAACGTGTGGTTTTGTAATGTCCTGAAAACTTAAGAGGTGTATATTTCTCTGCTCAGACTTGGACGCCCATCATATATTTTTTGCCATATTTGGGTCAAGTGAAAATACAGCACACATGCATCGTATACTGTTGTCACGGCTTTATTTGTGTCAAGATGTAGTTCAGTTAGTCAGCCAGCATATGTCCTGCTGTTTAATGAGGTGAATTGTCATTTTTTTCATTAGGTCTATTCTTATACTGCAGTTGTTACATTACCTTCTTCTCCAGTGACACTCCTGCATATTCAGCTGCTTTTGAATAGGAAAAACAACTTTGTGCATGTTCTAAAGGTTCTTCTTTTTGTATAATTTTGTCAAAACAATGACAAACCAGTGCCCATTGCTGCCGCTGGCTTCCAAATACAGCAGCCGTCCCTTAAAGCATCTCCAGACTGCTGCTCTGCTCTAATAAAAGCCTGATTCTGTAACCACAGTCGTCTGACAAAATTACTATCAAGAAACTTAAAGACTTGCTGAGAAGCCCTGGCAGGAATAAACTTCCACAGATAAAATGTCTTTAACGTTTTTTTCGAGCAGGGCATCAAATATGTGTGTGTCCACTTGGACAAAGGACCCAGGTCCTGCTGTAGCCTTAGCCCCACTCAGCTGTGGACATCACCATGCTGACCGTTATTTGAAAATAACTGGAAAAGCCTCAGTTTTCTGTCCAATCTGTGCTGTTTCTTAAACTTTATTTCATGCACTTCGGAGACGCTCAAAACTGCTTTAGATTCTGCCCTTTGTCCAGAATCAGGGCACTGTCAGTCCTGGCTGTGTTTGGATCCTTTGGCCTCAACATTTGTTGTAATCCATCAAAACCCCCAGAACAATTTTGCGCTAATTCACAGATATAGGACCCACTTTAAGTCCTCTCTTGTGCCTCAGGCCTCAAACAAAGGCTACAGATTAATCCACAATTATTAAGGTAATTATGTTTAGGTTCACTGGGTACTTTTCTTGTACAGTGGAGCTAACCAAAATCAACATGGTATTCATTTCTCCCCATTGAGCTTTCACTGAGGAGTCCACCCCTGGTTCGTGGCCTTGTCAAGCTTCCATAATCCCAAATGATTAGGCAGCTCCAGAGGTTGAGTGCAAGTCAGACACACCTGTAATACGACACTAACCTCCTTCAGGATTCTTTTCAGAAACAGACCCGTCGAGGTGGGCTAATCTGAGCGAACGGCTCGGAGAAATAGGACGGCGTGCTGCACTCCTCCAGCAATTCAGCGTTTTGTTTCCAGAGCAGAATGGGCCGTCTTTGGCCAAAGGCAACATTGTTAGCCCCTCTATCCCTCTGTGAGGATCTCTCGGTGTTTTGATAGCGGCGCTGTTCTCTTCCGCCCTGGTAGGTCAGTTTTTATTGGAGGAGTCTCGGCTGCTGGAAGCGGCGGAGATGGCCAAGAAAGCGGCACGCCTGGACAGCGGAGAGTTTGATGTGGTCTTCAGTGCAGCCCACATGCTCAGGTAAGTCTCCCATTGGATTGTTTGCAATCGGAACACATGTACAAGAAGTCGTTTTTTTTTAAAACCCTGTGTAGTGTAGATAGATGTCCCTGGTTGGGTGAAAATGAGAGGCTGTGTGTGAGAGAGGGAGGTCTGCTGTCTGCACGCTTTATCCTGGGGCTTACTCTGCTCCGTAGCCTGAGTGATTTACTTGGCTGTACTTGATAATCCCTCTCTTTCCTTAGCAGTGAGAGCCCCTTGAACTGCTGGTTTGTGTCCGCGCTCATCGCAGCTGCTCGGCAGTAAGCTGCGCGGCAATAAGCGCCTTACGTCAGATGCTCTCCATCTAACTTCACGCGTTTCCCCATCTGTGTTTCACACTGTCACATCGAGTTGTCGGAACTCCTTGAAAGCATGCTCTCGATTAAGGGCAAAGTTCAGCTGATGAGCCTGAGCAGAGAAAGCCCTGGAGTTGTTATGTTTGTGAACATGAGCCACGAGTGGAAATGAGTAAATAAATTCATCTGACAGCTTGCTGAATGCCAGCTGACTGAAGAAAACTATAGTATCATGTTACAAAGTGGGGAAATCTTTGTTTATACTCATCATAAGTAACTTCAGCCATTTTTTTTTTCTAGATTAAAGCTGCCTACTGATTGGGAATCTTGCTTATCTTTAAATCAAAAGCCTGAAAACTGTTGGTGCCTTGCCCGTGATTACATCAGTGCTGATCGGCTCTATTTAAAATTCTTGACTTGCTTCGTTTAGATTCGCTCTTCCCTCACCAGCCCTATCATGCAGGATCTGAACCACCAACTGTTTTCAGTAGAGAGAGGTACTTCCAGGGTCCAGACCCCTGGCAGCTAAAGAGAGCTTCAAGCAGTGCTTGGGTTGAACTGTTCTCCGCCTGCTTGGCATGGGGTCTCCCTCCTCCATAGCTCATGTTCTTTATGTGTTTGTCTTGGACACAGACGTGGAAAAGCCCTCGGTTGATGGAGACACGAGTGAATCTACACAGAGAAGGGAAGAGATTACAAGGAGAAGCGGAAGCTTACAAATGTGCGCATGCCGTTTATTACCCTCTTGGGCCTTCGGTTTTTGACCATTTGGCTTCCAAACTATTCATTTTCTTCTGCCTCCTTTGAACAGCTAGTTTATTTTTCTTAATATAGTTCACGTTTGTAGTGCGAGCATGGGACAGGAGGAGCTGGCCATTAGGTAAAGGCCTGTGCTTGTCTTTAATCTTTCCAAAGGAAACAAAAAAAAACTGACTTAGTGAAGTACAACTCTTAGACATCCACAGAAGACCATGAGGAGAGATATAAATCACAAATAAACAGCTTATAAATTAATAGTTTAGCTCATTAAATACCATCGAAACCATAATTGTGATATTATTATATAATACTCTATGTCTACCAGCTTACGATGATATTAGTTATGCAAATCATTTGATATGACTGCAAATTATAGCATTGGTTTCTAATTATTTAACTGTGATAGCATCAAAGGGAAAGCCATGTGTAGCTGGATTTTGGGGCAGCCAACATGCTGCGCTGCCCTTAGGGGAGGACGCGTGTGCTTAGTGGAGTATTCTAACCCCTTACTCTAACAAGATGTAATGCTCTGTTTGAGACGGATGGGAGGCTGCAGTTTAAGTGCAAATATCTGGCTTTTGTTGAAAATGCAATTGGCCCGCGCAGTCATTTGTATCCAACAATGGCATGCTTACAGGCAGCATCTGTCAGTGCTGAGATTTATGCATGCGTGGGGTTAATAAACCATCCTTTGACAAGAAGACAAGATGATCACTAGTTCAGCTGCGTATTTGAAATATCGTCAAGAAGTTTTACTACCTCCAGGGATATCATTCCCCCCATTCATTTAATCTCTCCCTCTCTGATGATGCGGTCTCACATGGTTCCTCCTCAGTTGATAGCCAGGCGACGGTCGACATATTAGGCCCCCGCTGTCCTACAGTAATTGTTGTCGTGACCTGGAGCCAGACAGCTCGGGGATTTCCTGTTGTGTGGCGGCTCTCCGGTTCCCTCCTCATGATGTCTGCATAAATGGGATTATAATATTACGAAGACTTGGCCGTTTGTCTTTTCAGAATCACAATCACGTTGATATTTGAGGCTTTTTTCTGGCCACTTGGTCTTTTTTCTGACCGTTATACTTCAGTCTGATGCGTTTCAACTCCCCTGACCAACAGTCCTACATCCCAACGATAACTTATAAGTTGTTCTTCGAATAGAAAATATCTCAATAGTTATAAGACTGGGGTTTGTCAAATTTGGTTCACAGTTCTGTGTGTTTTTGTTCATCACTCTCTGGTGCACTTAACACACTAAAATTTGGGTCCTAATCAAACACCCACAAAAGGTGGAAACAACAATAAAATACTGGAAGAAATTAAAAAGATATTTTGCATTAGCAAATTTGGTCTAGAGTAGCAGATTTGTGCATCATGGCATCCAATTTAAGACTTCCTCACACCTTTTGCATCCAGAAGTCCTTCAAGTAAACAGCTATTACCCAGCTACGCATTCAGAAAGCACTAGCCAGTTATTGGAAACCACGGCCGAACACTTTGTGTGGACTTCGAGGCACTGGGACTTTGATCTGATACCATAGAGATGAGAATCTGACAAATTTAAACAGGCTGAAAAGGCTTTGTCTCCTTTGATCATCACGACTTAAGGGGCGCCACAGGCTCCCGGCAGTTTGTCCGTTCTCCACTTTGACAAAGCTAAATTATTTGCAACTGCGCAAATGTTTCCCTCAGCCTGAAGCTGTGGACCAGGAGGGTGGTTTCTGTGATATCAGAGTACTGATGGGTGGAAGGAGCGGCTGGCTGGTGTAGATAATAACAATAAAGGGAACAATGGTTTATGAAAGATGATAAGAACCATTTTATCCAATGTTCCTGTCTTGACGGCCATTTTCACGTCCTTAGGTACAATTCAGCTTAGCTGAGCACAGACGCTATCAGGTTAAAGATGCTATGGAAAGAGCCTCCAACAAGTGATGGGACCGGCATTTCCCATCCCTCATGCTCTTCTCCTGATGTTATTTTCTCACTGACCCCTGAGCACCAGTAAACACACCGGATTCGAGGCCTCATCCCAGCCCAGGAGCAATAAAAATGAGTAATGGTGGCCTCTTTGTGTTTTCCCTCCGCAGACAAGCCAGCCTAAATGAGGCAGCTGAGAAGTATTACGGCCAAGCAGCGAGCCTGAGACCCAACGTGAGTAACGCCGACTAGCTTTTCTTCCCCACTCACATTCACCCTGATGGACAGTTTCCAATCACAGTGAGGGTGGCTTTCCAATACCATCACGGGCTGGTCTGAGTTTCTCACAACTGCCCTCTTTGTCAGCAGAGCTCAGAATAATGAGGGTTCGTTTTTTTTTTTTTGACTGAGCTCAGAGGTTTGCTTATGCAGCGTCCATCAACGACTTCAAAGGAGGGGCCAGGGCAAGCAGATTGGAAAGAATAATGATAATAACACTCAGTCAGGGGACCGTGACATCTTGAAAATGAATAGGACTCTGTCTTTAAGCTCTGACAGGATCGGTCAAGTTGTTTAAGTGAGGGCCACAGAGGGGGGCGGCATGTTTAGCTTATGGTCACTCTGTTTGTTCTTACGTCTTGATTAGAAAAAAAACAAATCTGGATTAATGATCAAATGCATTTTGGCTGTTATGCAGAGTTTATAATTTAGCTCTGCCCACACACAAACCCTGGCATACCAAATACAAACAGTGACAAACAAGACCAACAAAAAACTTAATTTTGAACATGTAATTAAACACAGATGAGAGATTAAGATCATGTTTTTTTTCTGTGACTCAAACCAAAATGCATATATTAATTTAATTAGAGTTTTTCCTACAAAGAACAGACTCTGGATATTTGTAAAACATCATTTTATTCAGTTTACCATCTTCTTATATGTTTAATTCGACCACTTTAAGTATATTTTGGTCTTTAAGACACACATCACATAAAAGGTGTCATTTTCCGTTTCTTTGTTCCTATATGGTCACTTTTGTTTCCGTGCCTGTTGCCAGTTTTGTATTTTATAGCTGAGGTGCAGTTATAATTAGGCATCTTCATCCATCTTCCTCAGTATTTTCTCCGTCCGATGAACCACGTCTATCTTCATTTGTCACTTCATGTTTTACCGCAGTCTGACTCCTCAGAACTGCTGTTTTACATTAAAGCACATATGTTTGCCCAGTCTGGCTAAGAAAGGACCATTTCCTCCATTTAAGAGATCTAGTCCCTCAGTCCATCAGCGCTCTCTTTCAAAACAAGCTCGTATCTGACTGATTCTCAGTTTGGCTTAATTGCTCACTGTAACCTTTGACATTTGTCCTTTGAGCATTTCCCGTTTTACACAGAAATCCTTTGCCTACAGATCCTCTCTGAACTCATTACTGTCAGGTCAGCTCTGACCCAGTTTTATCCTCACTCTCTGGACTTTATGACATAAGTTGCTTGAAAGCTTTAGGCCATTTTTTGTTTTTTTCTTTGCTTCTCCCTGTTCTTTTTTTTTTATTGTTTCCAGCACGTGGAGGCAAAAAGGCTGTAGAGTAGCAGGGAATGATGAGAAACAAATTAAGGCATTCGGCAAGTCAACTTTTAGCAGAGTTACAAAAGAAAGGAAAAAGCAGGGGTGTAAGAAAATAATTTTACAGGAAAAGCATGAGGGTTTGAGAGAAAGTTTTTATTTCCAGGGTACCATAATTTATTTTGTGAAACTCATTAGGATTTAGTCTGAGTATGATGGTAAGTATGCTTGTAAGATGATGGAGTTGTGTCCCTATGTAATGACTTCATTAAAGGACATGAAATTAAATTCTAGGATAAATTTGACATGTCTCCACTTGGCATCCATCTGAGGACGTCCTTGTGCATGTTCTTGAATCCAGTTAAAAGCTTGTAGCTTTAGTAGCCCTCGTTTTTCTAAATGTTTCACATCAGATTCAAAATATTTGATATGACAAGTTCATTGCGTCGCCCTGAGCAAAATAAATAAAAAAAAATCTCTAAAACAGGATGATATGCTGCAAAGAAATGCCTCAGAATGCCAAACAGGATATTGTTTGTCCATCCATTGTTAGTTATTCCAAAGACACAGAGTTATGAGTTGCATAGATTTATGAACTCAGTGACCTTACAGACTACTGTAGAGGAAAAACTGGATCTTTCTTTACAGAAAATCTTAACAAACTCCCCAAAACTGCATTAAAGCCGTAATTTTCCAATATGCACCTACTTTTCACCTACAGATCTTGGACACAGTTTTCATGTGTGGCCCTCTCACTTCGCTTTAAACTATGTCCATATGTATAAACAGTTATATTTTTGCCAGCAATTTTCTGACTGGTAGAAATCACTAACTTGCAAATTGATCCCCAAGCGTTATTTTGTGGTCTGACCCCGAAACGGAGGGGTCAGACAGAAGGTAATTCATAGCACAAACAGCCTCGGAGTTATCCCAGCCATTAAATTCAAGAGCTGCGGCTGCTCCAGAAACATGGAGAGGACGGTTCTGCAGCGCGGGCTGTAAATTCAATACCCTAAATGTAAACTTCAATCGGGATTGAGCAGAGTGCGTCACAAACGACTGAAGCTTTGGTCGGTGCAGTCGGGAAAGCTATCCGTTGCATGTCTTTTATGTGTTGATGGAAAAATATGGCTTCTTTCGAATACACAATATGATTACCTTGGGTTGCCATGATTTATGCATTTGGGTTATTCTGCCTAAGAAAGGCAGCGTTATTGAACATATTGTTCCCTCTCAGCTTCTCATGCACGGAGCATCGCTCATCCCACCTTGACAGTGGATAAACAGAGGAATGTTTTGAAAGTTTTGTAAGTGTACAGGGTGGAACGGCCCAGAAAAAAGAGGGCAGTGTCAAAAAGAGGAAGATGAATGGGGAAAAAAGTATAAACATCATCAGGCTCACCGAAGTTTTCGGGGTCAAGCAGTCATCAATGGCTGCTTGTGACAAGTGGAGAGCAGCCTCCCTCCTTTCTGTACAGTTTGCCTGGAAAAAGGAAAGAGACACAGGGATTCAATCAAACAAACTATTTATTTTTTTTGTAATGTAGAGGCTAACAATGATTCAAATTAAGTCCTTTATTAAGTGACAACACCAGTGAAAGGTTTATATACGCCCGCTCATTCAAAAGACATAGAAATGTCTTAAAAACCTTTGACTTTTGGCTTTTTGCTGCCCCGCGTGTTTGGACCTCGTACTGCTATATTCCTTTGGTTAGGGGATTCATTGGTTGGATGAGTGAGTCGTTTGCTGGTGTTTAGTGTATTTACAGATAATGTTCATCTGAAAATGATGAATTCAAAGGTCTGGACTGAAAATAAGTAGTTTTTTCTCATAAGAATCCAAAAGAGGAAAGAAGAAAACTAAAGAAGGAAGCGAGGCCTATGTCATGTCCATAGTGTACAGCAGACAGTTTATTGTACACTTTTCTCATTAAAAGCAATAAATCACACTGTCAAAATCCCATACTGATGCGCCACTCTGTGAAATAAAAGCTGTGCGTTTCAGAGATGATAATTAAAACAGAAAAACAGAAGCTTCTCCGCAGGATTAGCCCTATTTTCCACAAAATTCAAACCAAAAACTGCGATCAGACGTGGTCCCTCCCACAGCCCGTGCCCTCCGTCTGCTCCTGATTGCACCCCGGGAACTTTTCCTGTACTTATGTCCTCATGACTCACCCCGGCACCGATGAGGATTTTGCCCCTTGGCACCAGCGAGCACAAACTTTATATTATTGTAGACCGACTTCAAAGTGGTGGTTGGTGCCTCTGACATCCACGGCCGCAAACCAGAGCCAGGGACACGCAAACTCCAAACACAGTCTGGGTGATCTGACTCGTGCTCGACTCCGCAGACTCACAGTGCTGTGGACGGTGACACCGTGTTTCATCACAGTGGAAAAAAATGGTCTCTGACGACTTATTTAGTCGGCGACTAACGATAGCTGCAGCCTCCATAAATGAATAAATAAATAAATAAATAAGAATTATTTTGGGTGTTTCGTTTCCTGAATGTGCTCAATGATATCAAGTCAAATGCAATTTCCTGTTCAATTATGCGTGCCCTGAAAGAGAATACTGTAGATGGGCTGTATATTCCATCAACCCCCCGATGTGGCGCAATTTGAATTTTTAATGAAATTATGTCTGCAGTCTAAACAAACCGTTTTAGGTCAGTAAACCACAGGGATGTGTGCGTGCGCTCACGCTCCAGTGAGCCCAACCAATGCGTCCAAACTCAAACGCCACATTTCTCTGGGAAATGGTGATTCTGTTTTTGGATCGTAGCTTTAGACGAGCTCGAAGGCATACGTTCCAACTAAAGTAATCCCCCTCTTTTCCTTTTTCCCCAGTACCCTGCAGCCTTGATGAACCTCGGAGCGATCCTCCACCTCAACGGGAAGCTGCAAGAGGCCGAGGCGAATTACCTCCGGGCACTCCAGCTGAAACCGGACGACACCATCACTCAGTCGAACCTGCGGAAGCTGTGGAACATCATGGAGAAACAGGGCCTGAGGACCGGGGGGGCTTGAATCGTCCCGGCCCCTGCGTGGCAGACCTAAGGAGAGAGCTCCCCCCGCGCTGCTCGGCCCCTTTTCCTCTTATCCGGGAGAAATGGATGAGAGGGAGAGAAGATGTTTGCACAGAGAGGGCATGACTGTGCCGCACAGCCCTCCTAAGGACCTCTGAGCTCTGCAAACACCTCAGGCAGCTTTCCTCAATATTGCTCACAGTTAGCCAGGCGCTGGTCGGTATTTGGACTCAACAACTTTCTTCAATATGAGTGCTCCCTTTTCTTCTGATTTTTTTACCCCTGTTTGAGCTCTTGAACTCAAAGTGAGACCACAGCCTCATCCTTCCAGCAGTATGAAATATTATTAAAAAGAAGGAAAAGTACCCCAAACACTGTAGAAAGCTAGTTTCTATCAGTCCTTTGACCTGGTGTTCCATCTTAGTCTAAATATATGAACTGAACAACCAAATCAGATATATATCTCTTAAATCCCCAGTCTTTGTACTGTTTTGCTTTCTCTGTGGATCACTTTGATTTTGCTCATGAGATTACACACACTTCATAGTGAAGTTAAAAATAAATATAACCATTAGAAAAACATTTGTAAAGAATGTCCTGATATTCAGTGAAAACTTCAAAAAGGGATTTGAATTGGTTAGCCATTTCTCCTAAAAATGTAATTTTTTTCCAAGTGTTTTAGCAGCTAAAATAATAAAATGCTCATTTTTAATTGTTTAAAGTGTTAATTTGAAGTCATTAGACAGTAAGAGATCTCCATCCACACAGCGTTTAAGGGGCGCTTTAACCACTGCTGCTTTCTGCTCTGCAGTTCCAGTTTTGTTTTGTTTTGTTTTGTTTTGTTTTTTTTGTCTACATTGTAAAGCTATCATTAAAAAATATGAAGCTACCTTGCGGACAAAGAAAAGAAAGCTGACGTTTAGGCTTTAGGTTCGTTCGCAGCCTACTGAGCAACCTGAAGCTCTTCTAGAGATGTGTGAAGACCTGAGATGGAGGAGTCCTTCTAACCAAAAACAATAGCTAGACTGATGCAAAACTTAACCATAGAACACCCAATCACAGTGCATTCGAGGGCAATGTTTTAATGCCTTAGGGTTGGAATAATACGTCATTTAGCTTGTACAAATGAATCCTAATATATATATGTATATATACATATATACATGTGTATGTTACAGAGCAAGTTTAGTTTGTTATGTCACCAATGACGTATTTCCAACGTCATCAAAACTCCACTTCTAGGTCTTATTTGTACATATTTGTGTAGAGAACACAGCTTTGTTTAACTGTTGTCAAGCGAAACGGCACCCTCCTGGAAGTTGGAGTTTGAACAGTGTTTGTATTTGTTTGTTGTTGGCCACAATCCCCCCAACCCCCCCCCCCCCCCCCCCCCCCCCCCCCCCCACCCCTCCACCCCAACCCCCATCATCCACCCTCATTTATCTTTGTCCTCAGTTCTTTGCGTTGTAAATTATTGCTCCCTGTTACCTAGCAACAGAACCAGCTGGCACTGTGTTTTTACATTTGAGATGAAGGACCTTAGTCAGAGGCAAGTTGTGTTTTTTGTCTGTGATCCACTAAACTGTGGTTTATTACCGAGTTAACATCTGCACATGGGAGGTAAAGACTTTTCTGTCCCACGTTTTACACGTCGCGGTCGTTTTCCTGTCAGCTGTTCTGTTTTAGATGAAAATAATGATGGGGAGGTGTTAAGGGAGGGATTGTTCATCAGAAGCTATTGTAAATGCTTGAGTGATGGTGTAAAAAAAAAAGTGTTTTCACTCTGTGTCTCTGCTCAGGGATCTCAAGCAGTGGGCTATCGCAGAAACAAGTTCACAGAGCGTTTACTAAATTAAAATTTATTTTTGAAAGTTGTTGTTTTTTGTATAAATTATCATGCTCTGTGGCCCTTTCTCCTTTTTGAGATAAAAAATTATGTGCCAGAATAAACTCTCTCTTCCCAGTGTTGCTGTTTTTTTCCATAATAAATGTATGGTGTCCTGTTCTTTAGGGGTCCAGTGAAAGTTTCTTTTTCACTTTTCAGATCAGAGATTTTTTTTATTATTATGTCATTGATTTAAAAAAACAAAAAACAAATAAGGCCAATGAGGCCAATGTATTCATGCAAATATTGAACGTCACAGGGTGGTCTTCTCATAGCGTGGAGCAGTTTTACAGGGCACTAAAGTCTCCCACTTCAAATTTGCTAAAATGTGTCATAAAATCTATTCAGCTGCATTTCCTACACTTTGATCCCTCAACAACAAAGAGGACCCGTAAATATTCCCATATGGAAAAGATTAAGAGTGTTTAGATTCCGGCCACCCCCACAATTCAGCCCCCGCTGACAAGCAAAAGAGCCGTCCCTCTGATGTCTCTCACATGTCTGCGTAGAGGGTCTGCTCCCATGATCTGAGCTCCCCAGGGTGCCCAGCTCGCTCCTATCCCACTGGAATGCACAAGTCCTGCTAGCACTGGCGTTTCCACCCTGGCCCCTCTCCCCATAACACAGGTGTGCATCACTTGCGAATAATGGAAGTGGGAAAGTTGTCGATTTGTGCTGTTAAAGCTAAAAAACTGGGGCTGATTTTTGTCTCACAAGGGGAAACCGTGCTCATTTCGAACCTTTGCATGGATAAAACTGCAGTAACAGGGCAGATTTTTTTAGCTGTTTTTGACAATTTGTTTTATTTCTGTTGCAATTCTGATTTGCATACCGGAGCTCAGGGTAATGTAAAGCATCCTTTAATCTTTAATATCTCCCCCAAACTCATATCTTGCCTCAACTGTCAAGTGTATTATTTCTTTAGCTAGGAAATCAAAACTGTGTGCATTTTCTTTGATTAATTTCCCTGTCTGAAAATGAAAACTCCCATTTGCAAACAATGTGTCAATATAACACAACTGATAGCATCGATGAAATGTTGCATATGGAAGCAGCACCTTCCAGCATCCAAATGGATATATGTGGAATAGGCTGATACGGGAAGAAGCAACTCCATTATCCATTCAGCCATCAACCCACTTTCAACAGAAATAAGAACGAAAAGAAAAGAAAAAGGAGAATTGCAGTAATTTTCCTCAGTTTGATTTCTAGCTGTGGCTTAGTTTTATCACTGTATGCTGTATATCATCGTTATCAGCATTTGTGGCCAAATATATGTTTGCTCCATGGCAAATCTATGTGACTGATCAAGAAAAAGCTGAGCAAAAGTAGGTTTCATCCCCTGAAAATGAACATCTGTGAACAGCTATGAAGAGGGGCGTTGTTGCACTGTATCCTGTGGGCATTGTGGCCGAAGCATACAAACATAAAGCAATATTTATTTAAGACAGTGGAAAATCAAGTCAGCCGGTCAAAAATACATAAAAAATTCCTTCACCGACATGTGAAACCTTTATTTCTTCTTTATTAAATTAAACGTTTTTTTCAATATGAAGAATAGGTTCAACATATATTACATACATATATATATTTATATATATATAATAGGTCACATAGGAAGATGTTCCACATTTCCAGAAATGTACAGCTACTTGACACGCAATGTATTAATAACTAACTAAGAACTAACGACACAAGCTGAACATCCTTTTTTTCTGGGTTCTTATGTCCTCTTTTTTCCCCAAACACTTTCAATTATGCATGTGATTTTGTCACTTCTTATTCGGGCTTCACAGTTTGAAATAGAGTCGTCACTGTCAGCTTATTTAAGGATCCAGATCACAAGAGCACTGTCGCATTGTGCCCCCAAAAGCCTGGAAGCCTATTACCAGAAGTGTATGCATTAAATAAGGCTTTCATAAAGCAGGGGATCACACCCAGTATGATTTAAAACTGTTTCATTATAATATGCAGAATAAAGAATGGGAATTCTTATCTGATAATGTCTGTTCCACCACAAGAAAAAGAGTGGATGTGTCACATGTAAATATATGTCATGTTTAAGTTTACTTTTGAATTATTTCTACTTTATTTTTTTTTGTTTTTTATGATTTATTTGTTTTAATTACCTTGTTATATTTAGTGGCTTCGGCTTCTGGTGCTGCCAATAAATGCCAAGGGAACGGAAATGGTGTCAGGCTCTGAAATCTGGAGAAAAAGTCACGTGACCACAGGTCATTTTAACGGATGTCTAAGTAAGGTCAGGCAAACGTTATACCTCCGTCAACGGAATGTCTCCTGCACATTCTGGAATGCCGCTTCCCTCCAAAATCCTGCCTGTAAAAGGAAGAATCCAAAATATGACCTTACTCGAAAAAAAGCGAAACTCGCAAAAAGCCTTGGACCTTTCTAACAATGTTTTCCTGACTTTCAGGGCTGTAGATAAAATCTGGATCAGCTGAGTCCTTCAGCTCGAGAAATCAATGCTTCGCAATGCCTCATTTCTTTTTGATCTCCCGTCTCCAGAACACTTCAAACTGAGAGAAAATAAATTGTCTTATTATGGCATGACCTGGGAAATGGGCCTGCTGGTGGAGCAAATATTGTGCGGTATGTGCCGAGGAACTATCATCACTTTGATCTCAAGTGCCTGCGCAGGGGCCAGCTTCTTCTGGAGAGGTTGGCTGTGCGTGATGCTGAGAAGTCCCAAATACCCACTGTTATTGTTTGATAGAAGCAGCATTAAGACGAATCTCCTCCATGAGATGTGGACTCTGCCTCTTATTATTGCAGTGTTTTAATGCCCGAAAAGGAAATTGCATTTCTTTGGCGTGATGGTACAGTGGAGTATGGGCAACTGTAGCCCTTTTTTTCCCCTTAGCTGCTGCTTCTCCAATGAGATTAGGTCACTGAAACTCTGATTAATGGGTATTTAGATAAAGTCTTAATCCAGTCTTCGGTTTACTGATTTATCTTATTTAAATCTACAGTTGATTTCCATTTACCTTGATTTGATTGTCCATTCTTCATGGTTCAGTGGACCAGTGCAGTTTGCTCCGTCCCTTTTAATGACCATCCTCAGAGTCTTAATAGCTTTTTCTGACCAATCCTGAGGG